TCTATCCATCTATCCATCCATCCATCCATCCATCCATCCATCCATCCATCCATCCATCCATCCATCCATCCATCCATCTATCTATCTAGCTATCTATCATATATTCTCTAAAAAATATTTTTGGTTTGTCATGAGGAGTTTCAAACTTTGGCAACTCAGAAAAGGAAAGCATTTCTTGTCCCAGGCTGTGCTCAGTTTGGGTGAGGGACTGCTGACCTGGACTGGGGAGATTGTTGACCAGTAATAGAAGCACAGAACGTCCAAACTCACAGACACCTTCTGGTTTTCATGGTCAACAAAATACCTTGCCCACGTAGACCGAGTAGGCCAGGTCCTTCAAAGGATGTGGCCCCTGAATTTGGGAATAGATTTAATCTTCTTCTAGTTGAAGACTGGAACTGATGTAAACCTATGGGTGATCAATGAGTAAAAATTCAAATAGCCAAGCTTATCAGTCCAACTGTACCATTAATGGTTATACATGAATTATACTGAATGCAAATCTAGCTTTAACACACAAGAAAAATAATAACTATCAAATATGTTCAGATTTATGCAGAATAATCAAAGATCAAGCTGGAAATAGGAATAGCAAGTTAAAACAAATTTAAAAATCATACATGGATTTTCAGTATACATTATTTTATTTTATATCATTTATTTTATTTTATTTACTGTTATTTAACCAGGCAAGTTCCAGTGAGATCTCAGATCTCTTTTCAAGGGAGGCCTGGGCCTGAAGCCAACCTAATTGTACATGTTCTTAGGGGAAATATTAGCATTATTATTAGTAGTACAGTGGATACAATAAATCAGATTCAAGTTTAGCACTCACAGTATTAGTTTACAGCACAGCCATTCAGAAAACAGAAGATTTTTTTTTTTAAAATACAGCAGCCACTACTTAAAGATGATAGGATTGTAAGTTACATATTAGAATTTGGTACTATAAGATTTAAAGGAGATTGGGGGAACTGAGAAGATGAGAGAGAAATAAAAGAGATTATTACAGTAACAAGAATGAGATTTGGACACAAGACATTCGGGATACAGCGTGATAGGATGTCAACACTGTGCAGATAGTGAAAAGCAGAAAACTCAATTTAGTGTGTCAGAAATATAAGAAAGAAGATAAATGATGGATGAATTTAGAAAGGATAAAGAAACATTTAGTGTTATAAATATAGCTACTATAGAAAGAATCAGGAAGTAAAACTATTCAAATTCCAATTAGGTTCATAAGGAAAACAAAGTTGATTCAATATAATTATGGATAATACACACAAACATTTTGACCCACACTCCATTCCAGTAAGTAGCGGTAATACACATCATGTACCAAGCGACAATAAACCCAAATGAAGAAGAGAGGAAGAAGAAGCTGCGGCGGTCTTCAGAAAATTCCCTTGCGGAACGGAAAGCTCGGTACTTTGATTCAACGAGCACATTTTTTTGACGGACTTAGAGGCTGTCGTGGTACTGTAACTAAACTAAGGTAACAATTTTAGTCAAAGTCATCGTTATTTATCGGAAGTGACACTTGCGTTTATAATCCAGTAATATTGTAAGATGTAGGAAGAATATTTATTTATTCATATGCAGCTGTTTAGTTCGTGCTGAAGCGAAAATATAACTTAGCTTAGTTAGTCATTACAGATTAAGCTAGCAGCACAAAACNATATATATATGTACACAGACACAAATAAATGGCTGATCAAATGTAACAGACACAGGGCAAATACAGCTGAGCCTGGCACACAAGCACACCTACCTGCATGGCAAAATCCTCACAACATCATTAGGTTTATAACCTTCAATGCAGACAGCACAGTTGTCAAAGTCCGACTCAGTTTCCTAAACACAAACAAAACACAAAAATGAAGATTAATTCTCAAATAAATCCAATGTATGCTTCAGAAATCAGATACATAATATTGTTATTATTCTACAACTGACATATTTCTGTAAATAAAAAAAAAGATCTTTAAAAATGATCGAGAAGTTAAAAAAAAGATCTAGTGGAAGAGAAAATTGTGCTGTGCACACACAAATATATCTGCATCAACTCCATGTTTTTGCTTCTAGCTGTACTGCAGTTTAGGGGAAACTGATTTACCTTGTCTCCTTTCTTTAAGGTGCGCACTTGAAGTTTACTGATGGCCTTTTTAGCAGCGTCTCCCAGGCGCCTCTGCAGACACAAATCACTTATTATTACTTCAGGAGTCAAAAAGAAAATATTGTTGGACAAAAATGGTTTTAATGACCTGAAAACTGTTCTGGTATCACACAGATCACTTATAGGTTACAACTGTTATGGTTTCAACTAAAAAAAAATCTATAAAAATTATTAGCAGAAATTGCTATGGTTATCCAACAAATATAGCGTTTTTATCAGTTGAAATTATTAAAAATTCATGGTTTGATTGGTTATAGTATTTTACAAGTAATGTATAAAGCTCATAAAAAAATACCATCAAATATTCAGTTAAAATTTGTTGAGAGACTTCCGGTCGGAACACCAACAAGATGGCAATGTGAGTGAAAGGCTCCCAACAGAACCTGAGAATTTGTTAAAATACTCCCATATTAAGCAAGAAATAAACGAGCTTACTGAGTTAACACATAAAGGGAGTTACTTTTCTACCAAAATATTGACTAAGAAGCAAACTGCTGAAGCGCACAACTCAAATAGCCAGATAGCAGTTGAAGCCAACGTGTGACTACAATCAAGCTAACTCGAGGAGAAATGGCTGATCTGGATGTGATATCGCAAGAAATAAAAGGTTTCCACCCAGAAAATAAAGGACAGCTAGAGGCCATCAAAGAGGAGATCACCAAGATAAATACCAAGATGGACGAAGCTGAAGATAGAATTGAAGGAGTGGAAGAGAAAATCCAAATCTTTGAGGAAGTAATGATGGAGATGCTAAAGCTAAACCAGAGAATGGAAGAAGGGTTGACGGACCTGGAAAACAGAGCAAGATGTGAAAACATTCGGATCTACGGCATACCTGAGGAGGCAGAGAAGGAATCGCAGACAACGATTGCCTTTGTGGAGGGTCTGCTTCGCGACGGCCTGGGCCTAGCTGAGTGTGAACCAGACCTGCTAACCGAAAGAGCGCACCGCTCGGCGGGACCAAAACCACCAGACGACGCTCCGCCACACTCCATAATTGTCAGGTTTCTAAGCTTTAAAACCCAAGAAATTATACTCCGTACCGCCTGGCGGGGGAAAGGTTTTACGTGGAAAAACCACAAGATAAATCTCGACCACGACTATCCATACCTGATCATTAAAAAGCAAAGGGAATATGCGGATATTAGGAGAGTTTTGAAAGAAAATCAGATCCAGTTCCAGACTCTTTCCTGCCAGACTGCGGGTGAAGTACAAAGATGGAGCGCAAGTCTTTAACACAGTCAAGGAGGCATCCAAAGATCTGATCAGCAGAGGCTTCTCCATTAAGGTGGTTAAACCCCCAGAAACAATGATGGAACAAATTCAGCAGTTTGCATGGAAAAAAGTGGAATCAAGAGTGAAGAAGAACCCATCCAAGACCGGACTCAGCCACATCTACAAAGAAAAGCTGCGTGCCTTCAGACGAACCTCTCCAACACAATCAACACACTAATGAACTAGTGCGGGTGCTACTTTATTGTTGTACTACATGACATGAATGATAAACTGAAAAGCCTCAAATGCCATTCCCTTCAGCAAATTGTTGTGTTTATAAAGAGTTTGTCTGGTCCCAAATGAGGCAGTGGTCATGTCCCCCTAGTGGTCTGACTTAGTTACTGTTTGCAATCGATCTTTTCGGTGTCCCATGCATAATGTCTGTTATTTTGACAGGTAAAAGATTTGTACTTGTAAATTTTATTCGTACTTGTAAATTTGATTTGTACTTGTAACGTGGCAAAGTTGTAACTTTTTAACTTGTATTTGTAACTTAAAAACTTGTATTCTCACATAAGAATTGTACTTGTAAATTTGATTCATACTTGTAAATTTGATTCGTACTTGTAAATTTGATTTGTACTTGTAAATTTGATTCGTACTTGTAATGTGGCAAAGTTGTAACAAATTTATGTACATTTATAGACTTACATGTACAAATTTAGACTCTTACACATACAATAATTCTGACAGTTATCTTATCCCATTGTTTCTAACAAAGTTTGAAGGAAAACCATGCACTAAAATAATAACAAGACTATACAATGGTATACAGCTATGTAAACAAGAAAACACAGATTACATTAAGAAGAAGTGGGAAAAAGAAGAAAATGTGAAAATACCTGAGGAAAATTGGGGAAAAATTTGTCAAATACAATGATTGTCTACTGGATCAAATATATGGCGAGAATTTGGATGGAAGAATGTGATAAGATTTTTTAGGACACCAGCACAAAAACTATACCAAGGTGCAGGAAAAGATTGTTGGAGACTCTGTGGTAAGGCTAAGGCCAATCACTACCATATTTTTTGGAACTGTCGAGTTATTCGGGACTATTGGATTAAACTTCACAAACATATTAATAATGTATTTGTCTCAAACATTCCTTTTAAGTGGGAGACCTTATATCTAGGAGACTTGACTCTGAACCATTGGGATGCACACAATAAAAAATTACTTTATATGTTACTAGTGGCTAGCAAAAAAGCAATAACCAAAAAATGGTTTAAAACTGAGCCACCAACCATTGATGATTGGATTGACACAGTACATGATATATTCTTAATGGAAAAACTGTCCTACTCACTCAAAGTGCAAATAGATAAATTTTATTCAATCTGGACTAAATGGACTGCATATGTGAAACCCATCAGATCTGACTTTGTATAATTACATCAGTGAGCGGGACTGAATGTCTTTGTTTCGTTTTTCGTTGATCTCAATTTGGACTTCGCTAGTGTTTGTAACGCCCCATTCTCTTAACCCCTTGGATCTCCATTTCTCCGGGACCATGCACGCCCCCCCCCCACCCCATTTATCTATTTATTTATACAGTATTTTTTATTTTTCTCTGTTGTTTTGTTTGTTTGTTCTGTTTTATATTGTTGATGTTGTTCAAAGGGAAATGGAAATTATGTACAAAAGACATGTTTCTCACTGTTCAAGTACTTTTCCAATAAAAATAAAATTACAAAAAAATGTGTTAAGAGAGAAAGTCATTATAAATTAAGGGAATAGAGCTTTTTCTTTTTAAACCAGTCTGAAGGGGCAATGTACTGTAACTGAAGAAATACATTTGTGGGTTAGTCATGCATCATAAAAACCTCTAAAGCAATATTTTATGTTAATAAATTAAGTTGAAATTATTGAGAAAATACACCATTTGTAGTATCTAGCAGAAATAAGATATCTGATGTTTTTGTATTTTTTTTAACAAATATACAGACTAATGAAGATTTAGATCATACCTGGTTGCGGTCTCGTGCATTGGCATAGCGGAACCTCTGGATGTAGTAGAAGACGAGCCAGGCCAGAGAGATGATCATGAGGACGATGAAGGAGATGGAGACAAACACCACCGATGTTCGGCTCACGTACTTCTGCAGGTTGCGGGTTCCCACGGTGATGTGCATCGTGACCATAATGTGCCGCTCCAGCAAGGCCACGATCTCACGGCCTTTAGGCTCGGGGATCATGATGGCTACGATGTTGTCTGAGTCTGTGCAGCACAAATAACAGATGAATACCAAAACAAAGACATTGTTCTAAGTATGGGTGTAAATAACATATTATAGTGTCATACTTGGTAACAATACAATCAGTGCAGTAATAGTCCAGAGAGTAACAGCGCCCTCTACTGAAGCATGTCATACTGGGAAGTAATCCTCTGAAATATTTGATGAAAAAACGTCAAAGTTTAATTTTTTTTTCATGAATAAATTCAAAATAGCTGGCATGTCACAGCCTGGTAAATTTGTATGTTTTATTATGAAAGTGGACTTTTTGAAGTATTCATTCTTTTCAATCTACCTAGATTTCACATGTTTAATTTCAAACTACCCAAGTTTAAAGACATAGGTTGATACAGATTTACAGTTTAAGGCCCACCCTGCAGTAACAATAAATCTGCTACGTGTAACAATCACTGATAGTAATTCCATTTAAATTACAGTGTGTTTTTCCACAATATGCGAACCAACATGACGCTCAATGCCTCACAGTCAACATGTGCTGCTCATTTATGGAGCCCCAAAGGCTAGATGTTACTCAGTTAAAAGTTACATGCAAATGTCTTAATTAATTTTTTTAAAGGCTTTAAATTTGGAAGCTATCGTTGTGTTAGACCCAGTGTGATGTGGAATTTTGAGCCATTTGCTGGGAGCTCACACAGAGCAGATCAACACAATCCTCTCTATGTTTGAGAGGCTCCCTGCCAGCCACCATCTGGTGGTTTGCTCGTTCCATACGATGAAGCGTTTCTGTTACAGTCAGAAACTTTCTGCCCCTGAAAGACATCTGGAAAGGAAAACTGCATTTACAGTGTGCCATCTCTACGCTGGCGTTTAGTGCAAACTGACTTTATTTTACTGTATGTGTAGCAAAATGCAAACGCATCTGAAGACACAAAGAAATGATAAACACTTTGGTCCTACTGATCAAAAGCAGTATACTTCAGGGATCAGGGTCTTTTCACAAACTGTGAAATCTGTTTGTCAGTTTTAAAGGTCCAACACTGGTTTTAGCTCCAACACATGGTGGGAGAATTACACAGGAATGACTTATTGCTTTCCAAACAAAGAAACAAAGCTCCATCTATAATTAAGGTGGACGATTCCAAGTAGCAGAAGTTACATCCTATCTCCCTCCTCTGCTGCCTGTTTATGACAGTGGCATCCTGGAGCCAGAGGAAGCTCCCTGTGGGGCTTCATTTCATCTACTGGTCCCCAGAAACAGCACCTCTGTACACTGACACGTTTACTGAGGCACGGTTGTTTGAATCTAACAGATAAGGAACTTTTTGAGAATTTAACAGCGATGATTTTTAGCTGTCACTCTTATTCCTTCAGGAAACAGGTTTGGTTTTGCATGTTTTTTTTTTGTATATTTTTGCCTGTTTTTATGTTTTGTTTTGTTTCTTTTTAAGTTAATCTTATTCAACTACCTATCTACTTCTTACCAACATGGGATTTTTTTTTCCAATGAGGTCAGATGGTCGATGAGTGCACTGAAGCAGGTGGAACAGGAGTCCGTGACAACACATCAATGTTCCATGTTTTGTACAGCTCTACGGTTTGCACAAGTGTAACTTTAGAAACAAACACTTTAAGCTGCAGGTTTATGGTTTTATTAAGCGTGGCCATATGGTGCTGTGAGGAAATCACCATGATGCACTCTGCTGTTTTTGCAAACACACAACGAAACCGCATCCCTTTATGTCCCAAGGTAGATAAGCCAAAAGGACAAAACTGTTTTACTCAAACTTCACTTTTGCAGGATAAACTAGATTTTTATAACCCATAGAGACAAGGGAGGGTTCAAAATGCCCCTGAGCCTCAAATCTTATCTTCCTCAGTCATGCAGTTAGATGAGATAAAAATAGAACCTCTAAATCAGGGAGACGATGCCAGAGGCCAGGTCTGGACAAGTGAGAAATACAGTATGTGCTTTCAGAACCATTAGGTCAAAAATATGGAAGCAGAAAAAGAAACATGTAATTTAGTGATTTTTTGACACAAGGAAACATGTTTACATGAAACTTGCTCCATTTAAGGTAGAAGCTTTGCACACAGTTGAAACAAGTTTTATCACAATGACCTAACTTTATGACGTGTCAGACGCCGTTTGAGCATCTGTTGCTGTGTACACTTGTTTGGCTCATTTGAAACAGTTGGATGTGGTTGCCACAGCATTATGAAAAGTACCAGCAAGACAAGTACCATTGAACTGGAAAAGGTTAAAAACCTACACATCCACACTAATGACAAAAAGTTTATGAAGTACGAAAGAGGTGCTGCACTACCACGAAAGGCTGAAACACAACAGCAGCTTTTTATCAGACATCATTAACATACCCATATATGGTGTGTAAAATTATTGATCAAACCTTTTGACATATGACAACCATTTTTGCGCCAATACACACAATTTAAACGTCAGATTTGTGTTTTTTTCCTTTGCAAGAGCAGTTCAATTTGCCCCTATAAAATCTCAGTTTTTTTAGAGAATTAAAATGCAGGAAAGAAAGTGCAGTTGATTTTTATTCAGGCACTTAGAACGTCTAAGACATGGAAGACAGAGAATCTTCACCAACGACACCCATCACATCAAACGATACCACTGGGATCACTTAGCACAATCGGATGAATGATAAAACAAACCAACAGCCAGTTAACAGCCAGTGATCACATCTTTACTGCAACATGTAAAAAAAAGACAAAAAGCTACACACTTTTCCTTCTCTTTCCTCTTCATACTTTTATAGTAAGGGCTGCACGATAAGGGCCAAACTGGGTACTTCTGACTGACACTTTTATGTGATTTAACTGAGGTTTTAGGAAGCATTTATTATCTGAAATTGCCCAATCTTGGCTATAACCTACTAACTAATAATACTAATACATACCCCAACATAAATCATATAAATAGTCTGTTCTTTTTTAATGTACTGCTTAATGAATGCCAGGATGTCTTTCAAACAACGTAGATGCATAGTAAAGTAAAAATTAAACATTAACACAAGATTTTTTTTAAAAAAAGTCCATAAATCTAATGAAACTTTTCCGTTCACCTCCTTGAGAGAAAGCTATAGCTGTAACTTTGTACAATGTATTTGGATTTTTTTATTTGAACTAACTTTGTTTTTGCTTTTTTAATTTTGTGTGTGTGTATGTATGTATGTGTATATATA